ACTTTGCTGTCACACAAGTGTCACCCTAAAAGTCTGTTCTTCATCCTCTGGGCCGTAAGGAGGTTGGGCTGAACAGTCCATCCAAACAACAAGACCGTCTCTTGGTATACAAGCTGGTGAGCAGGCAAGTCTTGGCACAAAGAAGTAGCATCTTGGACATATCTCTGTTGGGACAGGCTCTTTTCATGCAATATTTCACTGTCTTCAGGGCCCTGACATACATCTCTCAGTTTACTATGGTCCCCTTTAGGCAAGAAGTCAGGAAGAACACTGTCTATGTTCATAGCTTGCTTAGGAGGTAAAAATTAGAAGGCATTACTTTCTGATTGACTCCTGTACAACATTGAGACACATGTCTTGGTTCACCAGTGGAAAAAGGCCACTGATGGAAAGGTGACTATGCTGAAAAATAGCTGTATGCTCAATAATAAGGTAAAATTATTTTATGGGGACATATGCCTGCCAAGGATATCTGCCCAGGTGTTCTGAAGACCAGGAACAAAGAATAAGAAGGGGAACACCAGTTTTATAGTCTGCACAGAAGATATGAAGTTGTAGGAAGCCAGATATAGAAGGGGACTGCACAAGGACCACCCCCTTGGGGTGGCTGTGGTGTCCCCTGGTGGCCATATGGTTTCTGCTCTTGCTTCTTCACGCCAGCTCTTAGGTGGGGGTGTGTGGTGGGGAAGTACTCTGGTTTCTCTTCAGATCGCATACATTTTTCATTCTTAAGGGAGCTTCCCTTTTCCTTTCCTGCCACACCTTGATGGTACTATTACGGCATTAAAGGAGGCTGCCCCAGGGTAAGCCCTTGTTCACTTTGACTGCTGGCACCCCTTGTACCTGGCTTCCCCCAATCTAAGATACTAAGTTATGGCCCTCTAGCCCAGAAGAACCTCAGGGTGCCAGTTGCCTTAGGGGCTATATGTGTGGTTTCCTTCCTCCTCTGTAGCCATACCCATGCCTTGCAGATGTCACTCCATGTTCACTGGAAGGAGCCCCCTGACCCAATACAGCTTTCAGCCTTCAGGCCTTGAATCTCTCTGTCTGGGCCTTGGTCTTCCCAACCTTGCCCCTTTTATTCCCACTGTGCCTCTCATCCCAAGTCTGATGCCTTGGACCTTGGCTCCAGGGCCCCAGACCCATCTTGCACTCACATGCTCTGGGCCAGCCCTCAGGACCCAGAGTTCCTGACCCCAGGCTGGAATGCCCACACCATCTCTGCCCTGAGCCACTGGGTCCCTGACCCCAGGCCATGCTGCCCTGACTGTCTCCATCTTCAGCCATCTGGTCCCTGACCTGGGCTGGGCTGTCTGCTACTGAATGCCCCACAAGGACCCCTCCCTGGTTTCCCCTGTAGCCACAATCCAGTCTACCGGTTTCCAGTTTAAACACAACATAAACACAAGCAAGCTGCTTTTAAACTAAAGGTCTTCCCCACTTCGAGTCAATATCTCCACAAGCCATACCTCCCTTGGAGCCCTCTCATCCTGACTCTCTTGGGTGGCTTGGGTATCAGGCTGCCTCCTGCAGTTCTTCTCTTTTGGGAATTCCTCCACCTGCAGCATGCACAGCCAGACTGCCCTCGTTGCTCCAAACCCTAAGCTTATATGCCTCTAAGTACTGCCCCTTCCAGTCATGTGGTTCCTCAGCTACCCAAAGGTGTTTCCCCTTTGCTGAATGGCAAGCCCACACTCTCCAGCAGCCCTGAACAACAAGCCTAGCCTACTGTACTTTCCCCTTCAGTGACACAGGAAACTACCCGGTTAGCAGAGAATTAGAGTAACAGTAAGGAAATGGGGATCGTTGCCTTGAAGATAAGCTGCTGGGAGGCTGAAAGAAGCAGGCCCTGGGGATATAACTGAGCTGCAGTGGCAAAGTGGGATAGTCTGATCCAGGCAGAGCTGGAGGCAGGAGCTCCCCACTGGGAATTAATGGAAGCAGTGCTAGGAACTGGATGCTGTGAATAAGCCCAGGAAGAATGTGTACAGATTGGCACGGTAGTTTGGGGTGGGAGGGAAAGGCACCCTGGCTAGAACTAACTGGAGGGTGGTTAAGCCCACTGAGGTGGACTGAAGGAGTTGGAGGTGGCAGGAATATTATGAGCAGGCTGGAAAGGAGAGGCAGAATCAACATAACAAGGCTGAATGCTTATCACAGCCTGATCCAAGCTATCTTGCTCTAGCCTAATCAAGGAACTGAATTCAGGGAGTTCAGCCTGCTAGACTGCTGACTGAGGGCCAGAGAGCCCAAAGGACCATAGACACAAAGCAAAGGTGGCTCAGAGATGTGCAGAAAGAGACATGTAAAATTTGCTCCTGTCCTAATGGCCTCAGGACCTACTTCCTAAATTTCAATATCATCAAGTCCTGGCAGGTGAGAGGTATGTAGGCATTTTGGGATGAGGGGAGGGCCAACAGAATAATATCAACTACCGGGGGCAGCAGACTACCTTGAGGTGCTCCAGGACAGTTACACCAGGACCAAGAGAAGGTCCTACTGTTTGATCTGTCAGTGGCCCTGAGGGTTTTCATCTTTTCATCCAAATCCTTACAGTGGTAACTGTCTTCCTTTGGAACAATAATATGACATACTTGGATTTGGATAACTGGCTGATGAAAGGCAGGTGTTCCCATTAAGTGGGGGATTTCCACACTACCCTATATTTGTTTTAGACCCTGGGGTTTAAGATATAAGCTTAGAAGTCAAACCTACTTCCAGTACAGTGACTGGAGTTTGTTAGGGCCACTCTGGATTCCTGGATCCCCAGGTCTGATGAGAAGTACTTCATACCTAAAAGCTTATCTATATGTCTATGTCTAAGAGCTAATCCATATGTTATTTCAATAAAAAATATCACCCAAAAATGTTTGCCTCTTGCATCTAACAGAGTGGCTGAATGACTGCTACCCCATTTGGGGATGATAAAGATACAAGGTTGGGATCACAGTTCTGATAAGTCCTTGTTAGGGGCTGATGATGATGGCAGAACAGTATTGAAGGCTAAAGAATTAGAGTAATCTCAAGCTGTGTGTTCTGTCCTTAAAAAGCCCTGCAGTCAGAGTGACCCAGAGCCAAGAGGGCAAGTGAGCAAAGCCATGAATGAGCCTTGAGACCAAGAGCAGGATATCAGAGTCTATGGGTGGATGACCCACAACCCTGTATTTGAAAGAGAGGTGAGAAAAGCTGGAAGACAGTCTTCATGAACATCTGCAGGACTGATCAGAGACCTGGTCATTGCCATGATCATTGCTGGAGTTAGATTCTAAAGGCAACAACTCATTGGGCAACTGACTATGCACTGCCTCATGCTTTGGTCTCAATGTCAGTGACCGGTATGACACCAGGCTGGTTTCCATCTGATATGATGCTATGGCTATGAAGTCAATGGTAAAGCCTACAAACAGAGTTTAATGCCCCAAACCTCCATTTGGTAAGGACAGCAGAAATGCTCTGTATTGAGTCAGGATACCAAGGAAGCAAGTGGGAAGTGCAAAGTATGATGGACATATATGCAACACCTGGGTACTGCTAAGGCAAAGTAGTGTCTGAGCTGAATGCAGAAGATGCATCAAGATGCCAGACTGCTTTGATTTAGTCCATAACACTCTTTTTGACAAATGAAGCCACATTGCCTTATATGTACTATAGATGAACATCCACACAGGTGTGTGGGGGCTCCTCTACTGACTGCTGCCCTATTTGGGGATGACTGCTCACTGGAATGTATATTTAGACAGTCACTCAAAAAAGAATCTTTGGCTCTAAAAGGAGATTGTACTCAACTCCTACCCCATTCCAATCATCCTGTTCCTGTACCTTTTCCTGCACTTGCCTCTTTCTCACTCCTGGCTGCTCATCCTAACCTCGTTTTCCTTGCCTAGCCAGCCCTACTTCTACAACTCATTTTTCATCCCAGCCTGGGTAGATATGCTGTATGCAGTACCATATGCTTAAAGTCTGGCAAAGTTAAAAAAAATATATCACTGGAACAATCTCATAATAGGAAATGTCTGGCAGCCTTTATAACATTTAGTGCTACTATTCAGGGCTCTAATACTTTAAAACAACTGTACCTTGTCCATTCAAAATCATCCAGTTTGAAGATTTGTTTCTCCATCAGACTAGATAATATGTCTCTACAGTGGATGTACAGAGTAAGAAATGCTTCCAGTGTGGTTTGCTTGTGAAGTGGCAGAATGTCAGACACCATCTCAGCAAGCTGCTCAAGACAATGCACTAATTTGTCATGAACACCCATGCATTCCTTTTTTTGGTCAGAACTCTGGAAGCTTCTTGTACAATCCTTATTAAACATGATTTGGCTCTAAAAAAAAAAAAAGCAGAATTATCCTAGTAGCATTAATTGCAGTTTCTTTTATTACTGATAACTCCTTTTTGAACACACAGGCAAAAAAAAAAAAGACATTACAGCACGTATAAACAAGCCTTTCACAAATAAGTAAGCTTTTCAAACACTAAAGATTGTATTGACCTTAACCTTCCCCCCATATTCTTCTGTATTTTTTTTTAGATTTTTGAGTTCAGAAATTATATTAATGTTTTTCACATTCTTAAATGGTACTTATATAAAATCATCATGAATCAATAATTTTTTTCCTGGGTATACAGTGAACCTCTGTCACAGCCCTTAAAATACTTTCTACCTACTTTAAGTCTATTAAATTTGAGGTCCAATGTCAAAACTACCTTCTCTTTCATCTTATCTGCTGAACACAAAATGGTCCCTCCTCCAGAGAACTGTTAAAATGTTCCAGACTGTAGGAACAGTATTCAACTACAGAAATTAAAAGACGTAAATCAATGAATCATATTTTCATCGACCTGTCAAGCATTTTACAAAGAAGTTTAGAAAAGCACTTCTATATAGCATTACTAACAAGATTCAAATATTAAAAACAAATTTTCAATGAATAAAAATTCTAAAGTGAAATGGTAATGTTATTTTCAGGTTTGAATGAGTTGTCAACAATACTTACCACAAGGAGTACCACTTGTCCTGGATGAGTCAGAAACCACTGTTTAAATTTCACTTTATTCCACTCTATGATTCCAAGGTTTACAAATCTACAAATATATCATACCATCAGCATAAATTAAGTGATCAATCACAAAATGCCCTTCACCAGTTATGAGGCTGCTATATGCCAAGGTTTTGAATCACATTGAAGAATCCCTAGCTAATGTGGGGAGTATTTAGAACAAACAAATTTTGCTGTTCTGAGTATTTTTTGTGCTATACCAGATCACTAGGGGTTCAACATGGCTAATGCTCGCCAACCTCAATGCCATTTGCAGATACTTAGAACCATACATCTGGTACCCTTCATCTTGTAGAAACAAGCCCTTAAGAGATGTTTCTACAGTCTAACATTTTGTTCATGAAACAAATTGCATGATCTCTGCGAAACATTAGTCAAATGGGACTAATAGCATTCCCATTCCAGAGAATAAAAGCATTCAGAATGCAAAAAACAAAATCACAGCACTTCATCAGTGTCTGTTACTTGTGCTATATTATATCAATTTACTACTACTTTTACTTCCCCACCCCACTCCCCCTCCCCAATCTCCCCTATTGCCTTAGTAAAGATCGTACTGGGTCTAATCACAAAAGTTCAGACAGGGCTTTGAAGAGCCAGGTCTAATGAATAACAATCAGTCATTCAAGGTAGCTATCAATCTGAATGCTCTACCTGCCAACAACTTTATGCAGCTAGGCCAACTGACAGCTCACATCCTGCAACTGCAGTCATGCTCCAGGAGTAGTGGATTAATGCTCAGGTCTCTTGAAAAAGCTAAGTCTAGCAATCTAAAATAACTTCTGAAGACTTACATGCAACTGCTCCCAAACACAGCCTTAAACTTTGTATTTGATCTGTTCCCTTTTAATTCTAGATGGCAGTCATGATAATCCTTTTGTTGATTTTTAAAATGGTTTTAAGATCTTTGGAGGCACAGATTACCTATGTATACCACAAAGTTCAGTAAGATTCCAGTACAAGAGTCTCTGGGTGCTGCTGCCATAAATATAAACATAACCAAATGCCTGGCATAGCATGTTTATTAGCAAATGAAAAACATATTCTTACCTTTTTACCATATCAAACATACTGCTCTCTACATTTCCTAGCCACTGCTCAACAGGACCTCTGACACGAACACTCCTATAAAAACAGTATTTCAAAAGTTCATTTATTGTTATTACTTATTTTGAAGAGTTACAATAGCATTCCTACAATCTTACTTGAATAAATGGCATAATCATTTCTACTGGACTATACCTTTCCCCAGTTTATTAACTTTACTAACCTGTCCCCAACCCTGGAGACCCCGGATCTGTGGCACTTACACATACTCCATGGAAAGACTTTTTTTTCCTTCTTGGGGCCTTACAAAAATAGGGTGTGCATATACTCAGGGGCATGTTATATGCAAGAAAATAAGATATATGAAAGGAAAGGAATTTGGAATAATACTAGAGAGTGATTCTGTTCTTATGAAATGCTATGTAAAGAGGAACCTGATTTTATGTAATAAATATTAAAAAGTGGTGTCGTATGTAAACAGTGAAGGAAACAGATTAATAACATTACTCCAAGGGAGAAACTATTAATCCTGCTAATACTACCATATTTACTTGATACCAAAATAAGGTTTTTGCCCTCCCATTTAACATGAGGGAAAAAGCCCCTTGTCTTAGAATAGAGTACAAGGAAGGTGGCGGCAAGCAGCTGCTGTGGCTCGGGCCCCTAACTGTGGTCATGGCCATAGCTGCAGTTGCTGCCAGCTGCTCCTCCTCCCCTCCCCGCCCCCAGCCTCTGCACCCTATCGTCTCCCCACTGCAACCTCTTTCTCCCCCCACATCCCACCATCTCCTGCCCTCCACAGTCTGTCCATCTTCCTTTTTGCCTTATTCTAGCTCCGTGATGGCAGGCTCCATCCATGCTGCAACCTGGGGCACTAAGCATGGCCCTAGCCTGGCCCTGTAGCAATAGTGAGCAGCCCAGTGCAGAGCAAGGGTAAGGGGCTTGGAGGGAAGCAGAGGCAAAGAAAGAAAGGGAATGGAGATAAAGAACCAGTCACCCATGTCCTCTCTACCTGAATCTGCAACTATATGTCAGTAAGGCTGTTCCACACTTGTCCTTCTGTGCCTGCTCTCAAACTTTGGTGTCTGGTGGGCATGGAAATGAGCTGGAGATAATCTAAGAGAAGCCTCAATGGCAAAATTCTGAGTTTGGAGTGTACCTGGGACCTTGAATAAGCAGAGCATGTGTGGGGTATGCTTGAGTCCCCAGCTGCTAAGGCCCCACTGCTGGAAGCCCAAATCAGAGCTGAGCCCTAGACAATGCCTAAGAGGGGCTAAGATCATTGAATCTGAATGTCAGATGACACTTAACACTTTACAACCTGTGAGGATCATGTTCACATGATAGAATGTAATATGGCTACATCAGTTGCACTGGCAAAATCTGACTGGCTCCATTCTTCAGGAATTCCCTGGGAAGTCCAAACAACATTTGAGAGCTTTCCTTTGAGAGTAGTCTTTTTCTAATTTAAAAAAATGGTGAAGCCCTTTAGACCTTTAAAGATTCTGGAGCTATTCTTCTGGATCCTTATATTCGAGCCCAGGAAGAAAGCAAGCGAGATCAAAGAGTTTTCATAAAACATTCTTTGCCAGATTCTGAAAAACAAATCTGCCTCCTAGACAAGACTGGGTGTGTCTACACATGTGCTTTAATGCACAGTAGCTTATTCTACTGTGCATTAAAGCATCATGGTAAAAACAGTGCTAATGTGAAGTAGAATTAGGCACTAAAAAGGTGTTTACTTTTACTACCAAGTGTTAGGACAGCTTAGTGCGTGCCTTCATTTAGTACCTCAAATTAGAGCAGGGGTAGGCAAAAGGCAGCCCGCCAGGCCTTTCTATCTGGCCTGTGGGGCCCCTAAAAAAATTTAGAAAATTAATATTTAGCTGCCCATGGCTGCCTGTCATGCGGCCCTCGATGGCTTGTCAAACCCTCTACCCAAAATAATTGCCTACCCCTGTATTAGAGGTACTAAATGTAATACACAGTAGCAAAGGCATGAGCATGTAGACACACCCACTGTGGACTAAGTTAACCCCATCCAAAAGATCAAGGAACCATTGGTGAAGACTGAGGCCCCCCCTGCACATTACAGTATTGTACAATTAACTGGTTAATTGCAGTTACCTTGAGAACAGCTACATGTGTGAAGTACCTATCACACTATAAAAAGCTCCAATCAGCTATAAAGTTAGGCTTTGAAAATGTATACTAACTTTATAGCTGGTTGCTATCGAGCTTCAATTTGCATGTGTAGCAGGATCTTCCCTGCTGCTGCCCCCTCCTCCCCCCAGCTGCAGGTGTGCACCACGCTCAGCTGGGCCTGGGAGTCCCACAACGGAGGGGATTCTCAGCCCCAGCAGCCCCTGGCAGCACCCACAGCTGCTAGGACCCAGAGTCCTGCAGCTGCATGCCTCCTGATGCTGGGACCCAGCTGCATCCTGGCAGCTGTGGGGTGTGGCTGCAATCTCCCAGCCCTGGGGGGTGCATGGAGCCCCTGGGGCTGGGAGATGCAGTTGACGCGAAGGTTTCACACCTTCCTCTGATACTGGGAGATCGTGGCAGCTGAAGTGATGAAGTCAAAGGACCAGAGTAGTGAAGGCCAATAGGTTGGAGTAATAAAAATGCTGCAGGTGGTAGAACCAGCCTGGAGACCTGGAAGGTCACAGTACTCAGAAAATGAAAGGCCCCAGTAATCAGGACATAGCCTAGCCTAGGCAGGACAAAAGCTTGCTGAAAGACTATTTTTTCCAGAACAGAACAAGAGTTTGAGATACAGATCTAGAAGTTGGAAAAGGTCAGTCAGCAGGGAGGATATCCTGAAGCAGCTGATGCAGTAGCACAGCTGTGCCATGGAAAAACTATGGTATGGTATGCATGATGCATGAAAAGAATTTGAGATTCCAGAGCATACTGAACCGGTAGACATGCTGCAAAGTTGTCAGGAGTATATCAGACACCGAGTCATAACAATGTAGGTGCTGAAATAAGATGTGTTGGAACTAGAAAAGTATGGGAAGAATTGTGTGCTTCATATGCTGGAGGGAGGGCTCTTCACCCCATTCAGGGAGGTGTAAGATGGCAGAATTCAATTCCAAGAGAGTGGGAAGTAACTAAAATGACGTATAATTGGAGACCTGAGTCCATATGCTATCAATGCCAGAAAGCAGGGTATCTAAGGAAAACCCATCCAGATAGAATGGAAAATCCATTCTCTCTGAATAGATAGAAAATCCCATGCACATATCCATCCTGTGGGATAAAATCTATTTAAAAATTAAGTATGATTTTGGTGACATTAGTTTGCCAACAAAGGGCAAGTTTCTAAAAGAGGTAATTATGTTGCATGAAGATAAATGTCTAAGGTCAGAGGTATTATGATCAAATTCAGCAGGTTAAAGTTCTCTTTCAAAAGGCTGTCATGTAACTGTTGAGTTATTAAAAAAAAAAATCTTAAACTGGACTCAAGGAAACCAAACTCAAACTCATCTGCTGGAGACCAAGCCCTATACTGAACAGCCAGTGGAGAAACACACTCAAAATAGGCCTGTGTTGTTTGAAGGATGTGTAATAGATACAATCCCTGATGATCCCAAAGAATAGCTCAAAAGTAAGGGCTCAGTAGAAAACATTGAGCTGAGAACACAACAAAGAACATTTAAAGTCATGATATATACAGTCTTTGAATTTGCTGAACATTTTGTAGATGCATCAAATCCAAAGTATAAGAGTAAAGAACTGATGGTATTTTGCAAGGACAAGTATTATGTAAAGAAAAAGGAAAAGAAAAAACAAAAAAGTAAAAATTTGGGCAAAAACAGAAACGAACTGAAGCAAATTGTCTTAGTCTCTTGGATATTGCAATAGTAAAAGACAGAAGCAGTCCAGGGATCTGACTGAAGAAGAGACCCCAAGGTGTAGAAGTAACTGATACTATTTTTTGCATACCCCAAATAAAGACATACACCTTGTTTTTAGGAAGGCAGAATGAAGAATTTTTTTCCCCAGAATTATTGCTACCTGGTTCTGACCTTGCTAGTAATATTTAGCTCACTCATCCTCCCTCTTTCCTGCTTGGGGAAAAGAAGTCAATTAATCTCTGAAAAGGTTAAAACTGTAGCTTTGCTTGAGCATGAAAAGGAAGATGATTGAGCTGAAGATTAGGTTCTGTTACTGCTCTAATTCACCTGTGGAAAGGTTAAAACTGTAGCTCCTACTTAAGACTGAACTCCACCCCTCCTCATGCAGCTGCTGGGGGAGAGGAGAAGAAAACAGAAACAAGAGCCATTTTACAGTGTTTCCATGCTTCCGTCCTGGGCAGAAAATCAGGTTCCCCACTCAAGACAAAGAATGCAATTTTGGAGGACTAATTGGGGGGAGGGGTGTTATGTGGGTAAATAAGGTAATCCTGAGAGAGAGAGAACAAAAGATCCCTATAATCAATATATTGTTTGCTATTCTTAACTAACTTCGTAGAAATGTCTGTTCAGCTATGGTCCAAGGAAAAGTCTCTTGCTTCTTTTTATAGCAAATGCTTTGAAACTTCTAGATACGTCTCCCTTGATGTTTTGCCCTACTGCTTCTAGGTTAGGGTACCTTATTCATGCTGGAAAAAAGGGGAGGCAGACCATCATTCCCCCTCTTCAGAAAAACTATAAATGCTGCCCCATGTAAAGATTTTGCTTAGATTAACCTAGATTTGCCTGAGAAAGACTGGCCATGCCCAGGGAGAGGAGTAAATGAATCCCAGCAATTAGGCACTGCAGTGACAAATCTGCAGACTAATGGTAGAGCAAATTTAAAACACCTGATGTAGGGAAAAGGAAAAAAGTGTTATATGTTGCTTGAAACTGCCTGAAAAACATCAAAGTAAAGAAATGGCAAGGTGCAATTCAAGTCAGGCAGAAATTCTGACAGAAAACCGGAAGAGAGGGAATGGTCAGAATGGGTTCCATGATAATTTTGAACAGCCTCCACAATTGCAGAGAAGAGGGACAGGCTACAGATCCTAGTATTAGAGGAGACTAGGCTACAGAATGTATTTTTTCTAACACAAAGTGTGTACTGGTTGTTATGCAACAAATCTGAGGATCTTCTGAATTTATATGGAATTATGCATGTTATAAACAGAAGAGAGACATACTTAATCCTTATATGTAGTATTAACAACTGTCTCAACATTCAACTTCAGGTCTGAAACTAGTAAATTCCATTCACATCAATGGAAACTGTATCTACTTTCTCCAAGACTGAAATGGTCCCCTTGAGGATTTATAAAAGCCTGTGGTAAGAGCTCCATGGCACAAATGTTCAAAATATTTAAAAGATACACTGTTAGGTGATAGCCAGAGCTGTAATTGTGGAAACAGTTTCTTAACTACAGCAAAATCCTAAACTACCACTATCTATATTGAAATATCCTTCCAGAATTATAAAGTTTATGAGAAAGATCCATCTGGGAACAAAAAAACCCAACCACAACAGAAATGTCTTTTTTTTCCTGCTTCAAATTTCTATTGTATTTATCATTCACAAATGTAGATCATACTTTGGCACTTGAAGAGTCTCTTCTTCAGCAGATCTGATCATCACCACCACTGTAGGGTTCTGTTCATGCCTGCGTATATATAGCCTCCTTATATTTGCAAAACATTTTACAAGATGAGGCTGTGGTACAGATGTAAAAGAAAATGGGATGGTAAAATATCAACAGTCTGTCACTTTTACTATCAAACCCAAAAAGAATGTTCCTAGAAAGTAGTACTGAAATGTTACCTGTATAGCATCAGGATTTTTGCTTTCAGCTAAAATGTCAAGAAGTTCGGCATTGCTGAGAAAGTAAAATCTTGGGAAAATCATTCGCTTAATTTCAAGATAATCCTGTTTCCCACCCCACAAGGGGAAAAAAAATTAAAAATAATTTTAAATATCTGTCTTAAAATATACATAAAGAGATTGGGTGCATCTTTAAATGTTAAATTTGTTATTTGATAAATTGGATTCTGTAATAAAGTTAAAATAATTTTAAAGAAAAATGTAAAAATATTCTAGAGTATGATTTTAAGTTTACCACCTCCAAAATGCTGCATTGCATCTATTTATTTCTCCTGAATTCATTCTCATACTCTTATTACTCATCTCTTCCAATTTATTACTTTTTTCCCTAGATGGCTTGAGGCCTGCCTTCTTTTACTTTACCCATTATACTTGGACCACCCTCTTTCCTAGAAAGCTAAGTACCCTTTCCCCACCGCCTTTATATTCAAACTTCCTGTTAAAGACTAATCCTACAGTAATCCACCCACTGTGGCGGACATCCAATTTTTTTAACGATTGATTTGTTATCATTTTGGTTTTGCTTTTCCCGGTGTGAAATTATAAACTAGTCTCAGCAAAGAACTGTGGTATTATTTATAGATATTTCAGATTAAAACACAAAATTTCAGAGGATAACATTTAAATTCATATAAGTAAAATCAAAGCAGGCCTTCAAATAGCATGGTGTCTAGACAAGAACGTAGTTCTCTAATGTTTATTCCAGACTAGGAAAGAAACTCATTCCTAGTCCACTCCCACAAATGTTCAGTGGTCCTCCAATTGTCCTACTGATAGCTGAAGCAAACAATGAAGAGCAAGTTTAACACGTCCAAAAATATTCACTCTAATGAACTACCTGTTGTTATAATGTATTGTAGATACATACAATGAACAGAGTCTTTCCTGGCAGCTTCTTTTAGAAAAAGTTACTACTATCAAACTTTACTTTTCAAGCTTTTGTCATGTTAAAGAACTTTTCACTAGAGAAATCTGTAGTAAATTAAATTTGTTTAGGTTAGGTATCTGGTAGAAACATATTTTTCTCATTTCTAACACATTTCTCATTTTTTTATAGTTACATATGTACTACAAGCTTCTATTATAAAATCATTCCAGCCACTTAATGGAAGACCTATAATATGCTTTAAAAAGAAACTGCTTCTATTGCAGGTCATGAGAGAAACAAAATCATCTTAAATAGTTAGAAAATTCAGAATTACAGTGGTATATAGAGCTTTATTACATTATTCTATCAATAACAGAATATTCAGTTATACTAATCATTTAACAAGGACTTACTGACTTAATGACAATTAGTAATTTTAAAAATATTTTGCACATGAATGAAGGCACAATCACAGACTTCAACTGTAATTACTTGATCATAATTTATTCCCTATCAACGGAAAGGGCAGCTTCTTTTGGGTAGTACAGAATCCTCATGCTTGTCTTTACTGACAATGTGCCTAGTCATTATCTTTTTCATCCTATTCACAAGACCAAAATAAAACATGCATGTTACATAAATAAGGTGAGAGAAGCAAGGGGGGTAAGGGTGCTCAGAAACCCCTTTGGCTCAGCAAGGGCATTCAGCAATGCCTGAAGACTAAAAGGGAGGCGTACAACCAGTGGAAGGGAGGAACTATCACCAAGAAGGAGTACTCCTCCTTGGCCCGGGAGTATAGGAGGGCTATTAGGAAGGCCAAGGCAGAGATGGAACTCTTGCTAGTGTCCAGGATTAAGGACATCAAGAAGTCCTTTTTCAAGTACATTGGGAGCAAGAAGAGGGCACCAGGCAATGTAGGGCCCCTGCAAGACACAAACGGTAATCTGGTGGCCACGCCAGACAAGAAAGCTGATATTTTTAACAGTTTCTTTGCCTCTGTTTTCCTGAACAGGGACCAGGATATCCTACCTACCAGAGGTAGGGACAATCTTGGGGATAGCTCTATCAAGCCTTTAGTCAGTGCAGATGTAGTTCAGGATCTTCTGGAAGGGCTAGACATTTTTAAATCTGCAGGTCCAGACGCCCTCCACCCAAGGGTGTTGAGGGAGCTGGCAGGGGTCAT